CGGTTTCCAACAATCTAGCATTGCTGGACGTCTCGGACTCATTCGGTTGAGGAGGAGGAGGAAGTCTAGGTGCCATTTGTTCTCTGGATGCAGAGAAAAACAAACGAGCATTAGTTATGTCCAAGAGTTAAACGATAATAACTCATTAAACATGCAACAAGCACACAGCAAAAACACAGTGCACTCATAACCCTACAGTGTCCTTTATTAGAACAAAACTGCTCTGATACCACTATTGTAACATCCCAAAATACAGTAATCACTATAATTCAGAATTAATTACAATTAACAGTAATCACAAACAGTCTTTACATTAAAACTGGATTGAAAAGCCTAACGGCATCAGTACAGAGGACGCGTGTAAACGCATACAATGAAACCAAGAGTGAACGCTCTTAAATACATAAACTAACGTGCACCAAAATACAATCAGAGATGAATAAGACGAACGGCCTTACAAAATAGGTGGCCGAACGTTATAACTATGCTAACATATACAGCCTAAATCAAACGAGCACTCTAAGGCTCGGCCTTTACTTCAACTTCAACCAGATTGGAGTCGTCCAAATTTTCTTCTTCCAGCATTGCTTCAAGGGATGCACCACCATCTGCTCACATCCACAACGGATGATCATTGCATTTGACAAGACGGACGTACATATACAAGAGACAACACAATGGAAATGCAAGGGTAAGCTTATAATATTTAATTTATCCAATTAACACATACAGTCATAATTCAATTCAAGCATACAACATGTAACTTATCATAAAATTAGCATATCAATATACATATAAGACAGACCGTCCGGACCGTATGAACCATGTAGTTACAAGCGTCCTTGCACCCGAGTGGTGTAGTAACTGATCATTCCCCAGCTGCCACTCGAGGTTAACCCTATCTGCCCGAAGTACTCAATGGACTAGGGTCTCCTGCCATTCCCACGCATGAATACCCCCTTCTACTTGAAGAGGCGTATCACGGAATATCAGGATGGACTGCGAGGCTTAACTTATCCAGGTTCATACTTTACCATTCAATATTTCACACATCTGAGACGTTCCTCCTTGGAACGCTCGTTAAAATCCATTTCCAATAATTCTTTCAAAGTATCATTCTCCCATAATAACAAGTTCCCTTTATTCACATTCTCATTCTCTGTTCCATTCTCATATATTAACAACAGGCATCCTTTAATCAAATAAGAACGAACTTATTACAGTGCATTTGACTTCACGCTTCTGAACAAAAGAAACGAACTATAGTCCACTTACGGACGTTAAGAATACTAAAATAGTTTAAATGGGATTGAGTTTAGAAAATCAGAGTAATACTTAGAAAATATTGAGTACAAAGACTTTAGGTTGAATTAAGAGAATAAATATCTTACAGAATAACTTAGATAAAGAATAGCTTAGATAAATAACCAGAGAAGTTAAAGTACAGAAAACAACTCTTACTGTAAATGAACGAACGTTCAGAAATTTACTTTGGACGAACGTCAATTACGTTCGCTCAGAATTCAATAATAAGGACGAGCGTTCAGTTTGAAACCGAACCCTGCTTTGGACGAACGCTAGGTCAATGACCGAGCACAAATCAGAACGAACGCTGGATACAAACCGAGCGCTATTTAGGACGAACGCTTCGGTATAAGACCGAACGCCAATTCAGACGAACGTTCAGTATAAGGGCGAACGCTCTATAGAACGATCGTTCGACATAAGGCCGAACGACATTAAGGACGAACGCTCGACATGAGGCCGAACGTCACGTATTTATAAAGTTTCAAATATTTATCTAAACTGAGCTGAAACGAACGCTCATTCACTAAATTGGGGACGCTCGTTCTCGAGCAGAATTCATTCCAAATGAACGAATTCCAACTAAGTTATTTTAATGAAAAACCGAACGGTCTATGACCGTACAGTGACGAGCGTCATTCATAAAAGGGAAGATTAAAATTCCAGATTTCTCAAACTTAACAGAATTTTCCAGATTTCATTTTTCCAACTTTATAACATTCATTCCAGATTTAATTCACCTTCAACATCATTATCATACAGTTTCAATATCCAAATCCTTCCAAATATATCATAAACATACTCCATTCATACATAATCAATTCAACATGCTTTTTAATCAAGATCAACAACATATATCATACATAAAAGTCAGTGTTCATCCATAACAGATCAATCAAAACCAGAATTCATATCAGATCTCAGTAACCATTCATAACAGCTCAACTTCATGAAATTCATACATGCACAATAACAGTGATCATCCATACAACTCAAATCTTATATTCTTCATTCATGCAACTCAGATCATTCAACATACAGTATAAATTAAACATATAAGCTTCCCTTACCCGGATTGAAATTCAAGCTTGTTCTAGATGTATAAAAATGGCTTCGTCCAACTACGTTTTGCTTAGGATTCTTGACTCTTCCAGAACCAAATCTAACCACAGATTACAGAACACTTAGAATACCAGTTTGCATGCAACTAAAACTCTATTTTTCCAGAACCTAAGGACGAACTACGAAAGGGACTTACCAGTGTCAGTCTTTGAAGCTGTTCGGTCCAATGGATAGCTCTTAGTGCAGTGGGTGTTCCTACGGTGCTGAAAACGTGATTGGAGAAGAAACGTAAGGATTACAGTAGAGAGAAGTTTAGGGTTTTTAGAGAGAAGTTGGAGAAGATGAAAGGGTGAGTTCAGAGGTTGAAGATGAGTTCGTGTAAGTGAGAGAGAGTTTTCGAAAAGTCTGGTTTTGGTTAAACCAACGTTCAATTGGAAGAACGTGTCACAGGTTGCCACATGCACACCAAACTCTGATTTAGAAGATTCCAACGTGACAAGTGGCGTGTGTGCATGCAGAGTTTAGTGCGTTTTAATGTTTCAGAGAATGATGAGCGTGGTGCTTCGTGCACGTCAGACAGAATTGTGATCAGATTAGGAAGTGGGTTTTAAATGGCTGGGAATGAGGTGGCAAGCATTAAGGGTGAGATATCAGGATTAACTTAAGCTAATTATTAAGGGTCTCACAAAGGATAGAATGAGTAAGATCATTATTTAGTTTAGAAAATATTGCTTAAAAGGATAAAATGAACAAACAATTGTTTTAGTTAAAAAAGGTTATTTATTAAAGGATAAAATTAATATATATGGATGGATGGATATAGATAGAACATTAGATACAAATAATGATACAGATAAATTATTTTATGACTTATTTTATCCTTTAAATTTTAAAAAAAACACACACACATATATATATATATATATATATATATATATATAATTTTCTTTTTCAATTTTACACTCTAAGTAATCATTATTTTAGATTAAAATTTTATCCTTCAAATGACAGTTAATTTAATTTTATTATTTTTTAATTAAAATAATTATGATATCATTTTATTCTTTTAAATTACAATTTATTTATATTCAATTATTTTTTAATTAAAATAATTATCTATAATAAAAAAAAACACACATATTTGAGTTTTCACTAGTCTACATGTAAAGGGATTTTTTTATATACACATTCCATTTTCAATTTTGCTTTTAAGTAACAGTTGTTTTAAACTAAAGTAATTATATTTTATTTTTATCCTTTATATCATCGTTAATTTAAATTTAATTATGTTTTAATCATGAATATCTCTTCATTTCTTATATGTTTTAATCAGAACTTACTAATTAAAAAATAATAAAAATTAGTGTCTTTTCTTTCATTTGTTCCATTATAGTAAACTTGGATACCCAAAAAAAAAATTCTAAATAAAATAAATATAAAAGAAAAATAAACAAAAAATGTATTTTATATAAATAAAGTGAAATATTTAAATTCAAATAAGGTGTATAAGTCTGATTTAAATCAACAATTAGTTATATGGTATTATAAAAATACATATGAAACTCTTTTCTTTCTATTCTTGTCACAAAAGTTGTACTCCTTCCTTGAGAATTGTTTTCATTCTTTCTTTATAGTTTCATATTTAGATGGTTTCGTATTTGCTATTAGAATTATATTCATTTATTTCTAATAATATGTGCACAACTGCTTTATATATCTCCTTCATCCCACTCATTTTTAGATTATAAAGTATATAAGTGTTCATCCAATTAATAAGAGAAAAAATTTATATAAGTATAGATTAACATTTAAAATAAATTAAAAGTTGTTATATTTTACTAAAGGAAGAATTAGAATTAAGGTGTACAACTCTCTCAATTTAAGAGATTAAAGGGAAATACTAACAATATCCTGATTTCTAATATTTTCTCTCCTTCTACCAATAACTGAATTGTTTTCACTTGAAAGCCTTTATCAATTACCTAGGAGGCTTCTATGCTTAAAATTGTTTCCTTTTATTCTTGCGAATGTCATGAAAAAATTTTAAACCATTAACAAAATAACTTTTATGTACATGTGACAATAAAATAAATATAAATAAAAAATATCTGAAAAACTAACTTTTGGAACACTTGTTAACAATATATACATGAATAAAGAAAACTAAATATAAATAAAAAATATCAATGATAAAAATAAAATTAAAAACAATTTTAATAAGTTGCCTTAGGACCATAATTTAGTAAAACATACGCAATTAAAATATGGTTTTAGATATTAATTTGACAAAAAATCAAGAACCAGCTGGTTATTAAATTATAATATTAGAGACTCATTTAATTTTTTTATACATTTAAGAATTATAGATTAAATATTTTTATTCATTCATGACTAAATAAAGAGCCTCACATATTTAAAGATTAAATCGATGATTAAGTCATGGTTAGAATTAGAACGTGGAGCTAACATACACTCAAGCCAAGACAAAAGAAAAATGTACAAAAGCAATTGGCCAAAACAACATAAAACTGAGCATCTGGTGGACAATTTAACATATTTTGTTGAATAAGAATAAATAAATACTAAATACTAAAGAAAAAGGGAGAGAGATGACAGATTCGATGCTCATGCACTTCCATATCAAAATTAACTGTAAGCTAATATTTAGAGTCCCTTTTGCTACATTCAATATATTTATCTCCAACCTCCATCATCCTTCTGTATGAATATGAATATCAAGAATCACAGTATAGAGAGAGTAACAATTCACTCAATATTCACAAACGTATGGTGGCCTTTAACTGGTTTTATTTTTCTCACCCCTTCACAATCATCTCCATTATTATATCATTCCAAGTGTCTATTGGCCCAGGTAAGCACCAATGAAAACAATCATTCTGAACTTTAGCCTTTTTGTCCTTTGCAAATGGTTGAAATTGCCTGTATGGACCAGGATGTCCATCAGGTCTCAGTTGTGATAGTGCAGAGAAATCCACAAGCTTAAAATTCACACCATTTTTTGAAGCTTCAGAAGCTGCTTTTCCAACCTCATCTAACTCTATGTCACGGAGCATCTGGTTCAAATATTTCCTTTCCATCTCACCTTCTTTAATTGGTGCTGTTCTATTGCAAGTTCCCCCACTGAACCACTCCCCATTTTCAAAATGATCAGCTGTGAATGTCCTGAAAAAGACCATCCCTTTGTGATTTGAAGATACTACGAAGTTCATCACAAATTTTAAGGCTTTGCGGTATGCGAAGTTAAATCCCAGCTCTGTCAGGTTCCTCTTAGGACAGGAGTGGCAACCCAATATGGTGTCATTCTCATAGTAGATTGCAGATTTCAGAAACCATTTCCCGGTTGAAATAATGATGTAATCAAAGTCCAGGTATTGATCCGTCCATTTACTGTCCAGTTTGTCAAGATGTAGCTCCACTTCAGAACTCGAAACTCCATTTATGTCTTCAAATATAGCAGCTTCCACAAGGAATGGAGACCAAATCACTGATATACGGAAGTTGTATGAGGGGAAGTTCCAGCTTTTGCTCTTGTACTCCTCATCATGGTAGACTAACACAGGTTTTTCCACCTGAAGGACAAAATAGTTCGCGTGAATCACCCCTCTTCCAATGGTTCCCGAGAATAACACCAGTATATGTGTATATATAGACCACGATAATTTCTAAAATACATTATGCTCAGTAGCATTGTGATAACACTTTGTAGCACCGACAGTTAAACTTTACAAGAAAACCAAGTTGTAGCATGGATTAGAGTAAGTGTTGCAGATGCATTGATTAGAGATAATATCAAACTATATTATAACAAACTTTATTTTACAAATGGGTTTTGTTAGGTTTTGTGAGATTGAGTAAGTATAAACTCGCTTACTAGGATCATATTAGAACTTATCTTAACAAGATTATAGTCGCAACCATAGGTGCATGGACTTCTTCACAAAAATCAATAATCATTCCAATGGAAGTTCAAATCAAGCCTTGTAAACCAAAATGATGCTATTGTCAATGAATTGAACAAATTTTCAAATATTTGTATAGTATCCAAATCTCAGTGCCTCAAATATACAAGACACTAGATTCTGATGCAACTTCAACAGAGCTAGGAAGTAAAAAACAAAGATTTTACTTAACTCTCACGCGCACTAAATATATAGGTTCATGCCTATAAGCGACTGTAAACATATAACTTCTAAGTACTCAAGCCTACTACATCATTTACTCAAACAAGTGCAGCCAAACAAAAGCATACAGCAACAGAATCTTCATTTTATTTTTCAAAGTAAATAAACCCAACCTCCAAGGTTAGACATTGGAACCAAAAGCAAGATCTGGTCCAAAACAGAAGAATTTAAGTGCAAAAGGCAGTTGTCTGATCCTCATAGAAACAATCGAACAAAAGGGAAAGCAACATTTGGACCTAATGATCAGTAATAGAACCACTAATGATATGGCAATACATACCTGGGAGAGAATGCAAAGCAGGGATTGAACATGGTTGCGGGAAATGGAATCACCAATGAATGCCCAGGCTTTGTTCCGCATCATGTTGAGAAACCTCTTTGGATCAAACTGAGGCAAATCACACTGTCTAGGAGCCCACCTCCAATACAGAAACTCTCTGTCAGGCCTTCCATTCTTCAAGCAATTTTGATGAGTTTCAATAAGGTCGCAGCTTTCGTTGGTGTAAGTTGGACCAGACGTGTTCGGAACCCAATCCCCGTTAAAGTAATCACATTGTTCTGCATTCGATCAAGCTCAAGTCAGAACCACACATTCACACTCTTACCTCTCAATCCAACTACCTTATTCAAAAATCTAAACAACATGTGTGCGAGAGAGCTCAAACTCTACACCACCGACTAAGGTAAAATAACCTATTCGTGTTAGTTGACTCCCACATTGAGTTGTTTTTTTCATCTGATTAAACGTAATAACTATTCTAAAAGTTACATCAGGTTTCTAATTCGTAAAAACTAGACTCAAAGTACACAGAAAGTAAGCTCATATACGTAATGTAACGTAGATAACCATTCAGCTTGGTATGGTGGCATAATAAGGTATGATCACGAAAAACAAATTCCACAACAGCATATCAGAATCGTAGATCTAAAGGCACGTGCATATAATTTCTGTCAAAAGGGTCAATAGAAAAGAATTCAACACTGACCTGATTCTGTGGGAGGGAGCTGATCTTCAGTTTCAGAAACGAATTCCAGAAGAGGTGGGGGTTCGGGAAGACGACCCAGAAGAGGTGGAGGTTCGGGAAGACGTTCGAGAACAGGTGGAGGTTCGGAAAGTGGTTGTGAAAGAGCTGCAGAGTGAGGAGAATTGTGGGGCTCTGATAAGGTGGCTTTTTGAGGAAACGGGGATTCGAGAACAGGGGAAATCTGCGAGGGCAGGGAGTGAAAGAAGAGAATACGGAAAGCGAGGCCTACGAAGAAGAGGGTGAGAAGCAACTTGAGGAAGATGTTTCTGTGGGTGAAGGGGAAGTTCTGCTTCAAATAATCGGTTCTCATTTTGTGTATGTTTGTTTGGAGAAACAGTGGTGACAGAGCATGGAACAGAGGAAGTGACCTCCTCTGTGTCGTGTCTTTTTGAGCAATGAAAGCGAAGAAGCTAAGGAGAAAGAGCAGAGAGAAGGTGTGGAATGGTTCGTAGATCCATGTCTGTTACCGACTAGTTTTGACGACAAGACAAGATTCTCTCCACCTATTATTTTCCACTTTTTTTAATTAACAATTTATCACATTCTCTCTGTTAGCTTCACTTCAGATCCATGAATAAACAATGATTACAGTGCATTAACAGAGTATTCCTTCTATAATTCATTTTCTTTTTCCACATTATCAGATCCATAATTCAATACTATTATTTCTTATGTTGTGGGGATTCATCTCTTTCATCAGAAAATCAAATTCATTCAGTTCATGAAACAATAAAAAAATAAAGTCTTCATAGCTATCTTAATGGGATTTAAACCCCTTCCCGTCAAGTCAATTTGGCAACAAATTATTAACAATATATACTGTCTCAATTAAGCTTTGAGATACTGTATTCCTTTTAATGGTGGAATTATTTTATATTTATCAATATTTTTAAATTTAAAACAATATTAATTACTTTTGCACTTTTTTAGCTATTTTTTCACTGATATGCATCTACTTATTTATTACTAGAAAATATCATAGCTATTTTATTAAAAATAGAAAAGTATTTCTTACTTTTTACCCAAAAACTTGTGAAACAAAGGCTTTTATAATTTATGCATGGTTGCATAAGTACCTAATTAATTGCTTTTAACAAAAGAAAATTGAGAAAAAATAATTAGTAATATTTTCTTCAATTAAATAATTACTTATTAATAATGTATTTAAGAATTTTGTTTCTAATGTCTCTTTATCCAAAATAATAAAAATAAATAATAATAATTTTTATTTTTCTTAATATTGTTTTTATTGTTAGTAATGTCATTAATTGTTGTTAATAATGTCATTAATTTTTAGTTTGTTGCTGTTATTATGATTATTGTTGTCTTTTTTATTATCTTCATCATTGTTATTATTACTGTTTTAAATTAAATAAAAATTTTAAAAAAAATCTTTCAAAATTATAAAAAAGAAACCACTTTTATTCTTAGAAACTTCCTTAAAATCGGTAGAGTAGAGATGATTTTTAATTGTTTAAAAATTATTTCTCCATAAATATACAAAAAGAAATTATATAAATCCATATAAAACTAATATAAACAAACAACTATATTTGGTAATAGTTGATTGTTTTGCTTAAATCGTCTAAATTTTAAATAATAAAATTTAATTAACTGTGTTCATTTATCTTATTTATCATAATTTATTATACATAAAAAGTACAGTATGTATTACAAGAAAATAATTATATTTTAATATAATATACTATTATGCTCTAAAACACCGTTTTCATTTTTTTAAAAATTAACTATTCAAATCAATTAGTTAGCATACTTGAACTATTATAGACAAATAGAGATTTATCTTCTGTCCAAATGAGTCACAACATGCAAGTATCAGCTTTATTCATGCATGCAAAACCTTTTAAAAATGACTCAATAAAAGAATAAAAATTAACTTAATCAGATAAAATTGTTGTATTCCATAATTTAAAAAGATAAATATATTATTCACATAAATAAAAGTCAGAAAAAAAAACTGAATAGTTTTAAAAAGAAGATAGTTCTTTTAAAATGAAAATTAAATAATTATTTTTATTATTTTTATATTTTAATAATAAAATATTCAAATTTTATTTACAAAAAAATCATTCCATTTCTATTTCTTCTTAGACAATGCCTCCCAATCATACATTAAGAGGAAAATAATATATTATAATTGTTTTAAGATATATCATAAAAATGGTAACTTAATCACTAAACTGTGCTTATTAAAATAATTACAATATCAGTATTATTGTAATCAGTGCTATGGTTATTATCACAATTCTTCCAGAATCTATCATTATCATCACTTTCGGTTCCATTAAATAGTTTATTTAAGGTAACACTTACTTAAGTTCCAATAAAAAGAAGTTGAGAACATATTAAGACTTTCGTAAAATTAATAAAACACTGTTGAAACACAAATAAAAAATAAATGAATTTCGAAAATGATATTTCTTATTGAGAACTAATAAAAATATGGGTGCTCTTAAATAAAACTAAAAAATTAAGAATACCAAATATTTTGGGCAAAATTAACTTACTCTGTTAGATTAAATTCTTACTCGTCAAAAATATATTATATTCTTTTAACCGGTCAAATTATTAGGAATTGAACTTTAAATTTAATTTAATCCTACAGTTTAAATTAATTTTTTTTTTTCACAAAACTCACTTATAAGATAAAATTTATATTTTACTTATATATTATAATTCAATTTTATTTTTAGTCAAAGTGATACACTAAATAAGAATTTGTATAGAACAATAAAAAGGACAAATGATAAAAAAACTAGTAAGAAAAAAACATTAGAAAAAACGACACATATTCCAGCGAACGTGGAAGGTTCATACTTATCAAATTGGACTGTTGTTTAAATGATTTTTTTAATATAAACAAGACTTTTTTTTAAATGAAGACACTTAAAACCTGCTCTCCCACATTCTTAGACAGGAACCTAAATAGAAAATTATAAAAATTTGAATAAATTAGATAATCAAATTCTTAATAAGGGATATAAATATATACGTGTGTATATATATATATATATATATATATATATATATATATATATATATATATATATATATATATATATATATATATATATATATATATATATATATATATATATATATATATATATATATATATATATATATATATATTGCAAACAGCTGTAAAGTTTTAATTTATTATTTTAATTATTAAATGTCCAAAACCGAATAATTATTGTTCCGGATGATGCTAAATCTACTGTTGCTTGTTTTCTTTTGGCGTTGGTATATATATACTCGAGTGTATAAGTTTATGATATTGAATATGATAAATAATTTTTCAACATCTACGGCCCGTATTATAAATTTAAGTTAAATTTTAATATAAATCAATTTGTATTCTACTTTGTGTTTTAAAAAATATAATTTCAAAGTTATTTGTGACTTATTTTATTAAAAAAGCTAATCATTTATAGTTTTAAAAGGTTAATTTTTTTTTTCAAGCCATGGAAATTTTGAATTATTTTTTTTTAACTTTTTTTTTTTCATTCAAAAACTTATTTTCTACCATTCAAAGTTATGCATTTTTCATATATTAAAAGAAAATTGTGATTTCCGTCAAACCTATTGATTAAAATGTGTATTTTATTTAATCTAACTATTTTAGTTAAAAAAATTATATAAAATTACTAATCTCTTGTGTGCATATATATATATATATATATATATATATATATATATATATATATATATACACACACACATTTAGACCAAAGTATAGTATGTAATTTCATCATATATTAATGCTGTAGAATATGAATTAAAAATATTTGTATCTCATTGTTCAGTTTGAGAGTTAAAGGCAAGTTTGATATTCTTAAAACTATAAATTTGAAATATAATTAAAAAAACATTTTAACAACGTATATAATGAAACGAAATTAAATATTGTTACTGATTATCGTAATAATAGTTGCAATTTTTATTAAAATGAATCAAAGGCATGAAAATAATGTAACAAAATTTTGTCTTGTTTAACATTCTCTCATAATCCTCGTGTGGGGTTATGTGGTTGGCTCCATCCACCTGCAGGCTGAGCATTGTACTAATAATGGCTAATTATTGACTAATAAACAGTGCACTGCGAATCTCATTCTCTCTTCTCTCACCTGTCTTACACATGCATCATTCTAACTTCTAAACCATCCTATATGTCGATGAACTCCAACAAACTGTGAATAACCATTTTAACATGAATTAAATGTTACTGTTTTAAACATCAATAAATAGAAGGGTTTCCATTTTGTTTAAACAAACTATTGAACTTGATATTTTATACATGAAAAAAATTGTTAAAAAGAAGTTTTCACTATAAATAGCAAATCAAGTTTACTTAAGACATATAAGTTATCAAGTTAAACAAAATTATTGTCTTGCTCAAACATGCGAAAATTCGTGGAAATGTATATTGGACATATTTTCTGATAAAAAAGGTGCATAAATTGCACTGGATAGAGACTCTTCTAGCCTTTTTGAGAGGGGTTGTGAGAAGGTGTGTGGTTAAGAATGCGGAATGAAGGGTTGGCGATGGAAAATTATTGAAATTTTGTTGTCATGTAAGAGAAGCTTGTAACTTTTAAGAGACTGATCTTAGCTTTGTGGGTGTGTGGGCAAACAACTCAAAGGAAATATTCCCATTGGGTTTTGTGTAAAATAAGCTGCACCACTCGTTGAGTTTCAATTCAATCCAAAACCACATAATGTTGTTGTTGCCCTGAATGCACATTACCAAGCGACCTTCAACACTTTTAGACCACAAGTCTGTTAAGGCTGTGGCTACTGGGATATCAGATGGAATAGAAACTTGTTATCACAAGTTATTAGCCTCTCTCAGAAAAGTTATTATGTTTCTCAGAAAATATGATTCTAAATTATTTTGAATTATGTAATATAAAATCATATTTTAAATTCTGTATGGAGATGGCAAAACGAACAAGAAACAGAAACAAGCGTTACAGAAATGAAAGAATTAAAACAGGAATTTGATACTTGGCACTTGTTTATCAAAATATTTACGTTGAACAAATTAAGGAGAAAACTCTGTAACATTATTCAATTCAAAAAAAATTCAAGAGGAACAAAACTAGCTCTACACGATGCTCCTGATACTGGACAAATTGAATTACAGACACACACATATTTGAGATTAAAAAAGAACAAAGAATCAATTCACATGAACAAAAAATGAGCTAATGAGAAATTGAATGACCATGACATCATGCATACCAAATTGAACAAGCTGCGTAGAAAAACTCGAGAAAAATGAGGCTTTATGCTGCTCTCTGGCCACTGCGAGTCTTTGATAGAATGTCCCTCAGATAGTCATAGCGACTGCGATGATAATCAATCCACAAACACAGCTGCCTGATAACTTCCCTCTTCTCCTCTCCCAAGTCCAACATACCGTCCTCTTTCTCTTTCATCATTTTCTCCAGCTCTCTAACTGTCTTCTTTAGTTGTTCTACAGTTGTTGTCAGATTCATCTTCTCTGATTCTTCCTATCTACTCTTTGCCTCTAACTTCTCAACTGTCTTCCTCAAAGCCACTTCCTCTTCATTTTTAACTTGCAGTTGCTCCAACAACTGGCTTTTGTCTCTCTTTAGCTGCTCTTTTTCCTTATTCATATCCCTCACATGCCCCCTTGCAATCTCAAGCTCGCGTGAAATGTTGGAGACACACTCCTCGTAACTTTTGCAGTCATCAGAAACTCGACAGCTTACAAATTCTATGCCAGTCATGACACTGTTCACACACTCTCTGACATTAGAAACAATTCCATCGAAAGCTTCATTGTTGGCAGTTATTAGTGCTGATAAAATAGCAATTCTGTCTTCAAGCGCTGTCTGATCTTGCTGAAACTTTTCCTCCGTCTTCCTAAAGCTTTCTTCTTTCTCACTCAACAATTGTTCTGTGACCCGAAGCTTCTGGTTTGACAGACGAAGCTTAACCTCAAGGATCCGAACACTCTCAAGCAAAGTACTGATTTCATCTCCTTTTTCTTCTAGGTCTCTTTTTAGGTCTTCTACTGTATGTTCCAAATCAGCTTCCTTCTGATCTTTCAACTCAATTCGTTCATGAAACTCTGCTGCCATTTCTTCAGTTTTCTTCTCTGCAACTTCAAGCTTGACCATGCATTCCTGAAACAAACCATCAATTTGTTTATATTCTTCATTTAACCTCTGATATGAATCTTCTCGCTCTTCTAGTGTTCTCTTAAGATCCATAGACCTGCTTGATATGTCATTCTTTTCATTCTCTACCATTACAAGGCTTTCTGCATGTTCTTGACTAATTTTTTCATGCTGGAGCTCCAATTCTTCTTTTATTTTCTGTAATGAAAGTAAGCCTTTCTGCAGATCATCAATTTGGGCCGTGAAAGCAATTACTTGTCCGGAAGCCTCACTCTCTTTTTCGTCAAGCTTTTGCTGTAAAGTGGATAACTCTGACTCTTTCTCAGCTAATCTTTTATCCAGTGCAGTAATTGTTCCCTGCAATCCCGAAATTTCATCTTTCAGTTCGGTGTTCACATGTTCTTTAGCTCTTATCTGCTCTTCAACTTCACCCTTCTGGTTTTGAGAGGAATCCAGCTCCACCTTCAGCTTTTCACACTGCTGTTCTACTTCCTGTTTCTCATTCTGCAAGGACACCAAATCATGTTTCAGATTTTCAATCTGGACTGTGAAGGCAGTTACTTGACCGGAAGCCTCGCTCTCTTTTTCATGAAGCTTTTCCTGTAAATTGGATAGTTCTGACTCTTTATCGGCTAATGTTTTCTGCAGTGCAGTAATTGTACCCTGCAATCCAATTTTTTCCTCTCTCAGTTCCGTGTTCTCTTGGTCTTTAGTTCTCAACTGCTCGTCAACTTCAACTTTCTGGTTTTGTGCGGAATCCAGCTCCATCTTCAGATTTACACACTGCTGTTCTACTTCCTGTTTCTCATTCTGCAGGGACACCACATCATGTTTTAAATTATCAATCTGGGCTATGAAGCCAGTTATTTGACCTGCAGCCTCGCTCTCTTTTTCATGAAGCTTTTCCTGTAAACTGGATAGCTCTGCCTCTTTCCCAGCTAATGTCTTCTCCAGCACAGCTACTGTTCCCTGCAATCCCAAAATTTCTTCTCGCAGTCCAGAGTTCTCATGGTCTTTAGTTCTCATTTGTTCTTCAACTTCACCCTTTTGGTTCTGTATAGAATCTACCTCCAACTTCAGCTTTTCACACTGCTGTTCTAATTCGTGTTTCTCTTTCTGCAGTGATGCCAAATCATGTTCAAGATTCTTAATTTGTTCGCTGGAGGCCATTATCTGAGCTGAAACTGCTTGCTCTGCGCTAATAAACTTATCCTGGAGAGTCAACAAATCTGATTCTCTATCTGTTGATATCTTCTCTATTTCTGCTATTTTTTCATGTAGCTCCAACATGCCCTGATTCATGTGACTGATCTCATGGTTTTTAGCCCTTATTTGCTCTTCAGCTTCACTGTTTTTGTTCTGAATGGTGTTCATCTCTGATTCCAATGTCCTTAGCTGCATGGCTAAATTTTCTCTGTCTTCCAGAAGTCTCTCGTGTTCAAGGATTTTTCGGTCAATTTCCTCTTTCAGAGTTTGCATTTCATTCATATTCTTGGAATTTTCGTGGACTTTTTCTACTAACTGAGCTTCCAAGTCAGATTTCTGGTGCTGGAGGGACGTCACTTCTTGCTGCAATGCATTCACCTCATGTGTAATGTTTTCCACTTGAGTGGAAGCTTCGTTACTTTTAAAAATTATCTGCTCTTCGAGTTCAATTTTTTGAGTATGTAGTGTCCCAACATCAGTTAGCAGCTTGTTTATCTGAGATGTTAAATCTGAAATTTTCAAAGATGATTCATTCTCATTATCTTCAAGTTTCTTCACCATAGCAGATAGCTCCTCTTCTTTTTCTCTGGACTTCAATTCGAGTTGTGATATTTGGTTTTGTAGGCCTGAATTGTGCTCTCCTAGTTCCCTTGCTTCAGTGGTGCTGCTCTTCATTTGTACTTCTATATCTCTTTTCTGGTTTTTAAGTGATTCTAACTCCAACTCCAGGTTGGTGACCTGTGCCTCAAGTTCCCCGACACGATTTGAGGATTCTTTCTGAAAACCTTCATGCATCTGAGTAAAGGCATTAATTTCCCTTCCACTCACATCAAGTTTCTCTTTTAACTGACTTGATTCAGCTACAAATTCTTGTATTCTACTCTGAGCCAGCTGAACCTCATTTGAAGCCTGTGAAAGTTGCTCTTTTAAAGATTTGTTTTCTTCCTCAGCAACTTTCAGATTGTGGCTTATACCTGTCATTTTCTGTTCTCCGTCTTCCAACTGCGGTTTCAGAATGGAAAGTTCACTTGTAACTGCCTCTAACTCTTTGCCAAGAGCTAATTTCTCATCTTTCAGTTGACCAACAAGGGTTCTGAGACCATCAGTAATCTTCTTTTCCTCCTCAATCTGTTGGAGAGTTGTCTCCTTCTCCATGGTCAAACTATCTTTTTCTATCTTCAACTCTTCCAATCTTTGACTCAGTTCAGCTTCTTTTTTGCCAGCAATATCCACTTGTTTACTTAGTTCAGCATTCTCAGCCAAAAGTTTAGATCTTTGAGTGCCTAATGCTTCAGCATCACTTTTCAAATCCATGTTAACTGTATCTGCTTCTTGTATCTTGCTCAGTGCTGCAAGATATTTGGAATTAAGATCCTCCTTCTCTTCATGTGAAATTGTCAACTTCCGATTTAATTCAGCCACTTCTGCATGCACCACTTCAAGCTCTTGCTTTAAGCCACCGATTGTCTTTTGAAATTCATTTTCCAGTTGTCCGTTTTTGTTGCCTTTTTCCTTTGAAGAATAATCTGAACCTGAATCTGAGTCCGAGCTGGATGAAGAACTCCCATTTTCTCGCTTGCCCTTGATCCTTTTCCTTAACTCACCTGTTAGATTATCATATTGCGCATGCAGTGATTGGTATTGATTGTGGAAATCTTCAATCAGTTCAATAAGTGGTTCTCTCTTTGAAAGTTGCACTGGGGTACCATCCTCTTCAAGGTTGTCATTTTTAATAAGTTTCAATATTTCTTTCACTTTGTCTTCAATATCTGTAGGAAAAGTAGAAAAACTATATATCATTGGTTTGGTCATCATGACGTGATATACTTGTAGATCACAGTAAAGTATTCATCACTATTTTCAGAGAAATGATATCATGCGGTCATAGTAGCAGCCGAATTTAGCCTTTCATAAAAAATTGTACCTGCTTTAGCTACGTGGAGCTGCTCTTCTTTATTAGAGTCAATATGACTTCCAAACAAAGATTTGATAGACTCTCTAAGGCGATGTTTCACCATCTTTTCTTATAGATTTTCAACTTCTTAGCAGGACCACATCAAGATAGTATGTTCCCCACGTTGGTTCCTGGAAGTCAGAAGTGGAAAATTTTAACACAATTCCTTGATATTTTGAGCCCTGTCATGCATACAAATTTGTAGATGTTTATGAGAAATATTCAAATACGTCGACAACGAGAATACAAATCTAGCTACTTTTTGAGCCATCAAAATCTTATTTATATCTATCAAACTTGATAAACAAATATAAATTATAGGAGACCAACTGAAACATGTAGAATCAGTTCCTGAATTATCCAACTTGGTCACGAGTCCCTAAATGGTAGAAATTACAATCTGTGATCACCAAATCTGCGCTTGGTCATTAATTTCAGTCAATGAAGTCCCAAAATTGTATTGATCTTAAGCATAAATTTTTCAATTATTTTTTATCATTAAAGGACTTGTTTAATCAACATTGTATCTTTCAAAGACTAGTTTTTTTTTTTGCACGTTGTTTTAGTTATAACAGTAGTAAGAGTGCATGTGATATTCGTGGGCAGTCTTTCAACAGCAACACTTTATCACAAAGGATTTTGTTCAACAGCTTCTTTGCCCACCAAGATGATGATGGGATGCAATATTTGATGTTTGAACAAAAATATTTAAAGTAAAATATTTTTCCAGATATCACTAACAAAAGATGTTGCAGGAAATTTACTGTGAGTTTGATAAGTGAGAGAAGGAAAGAAAAGATAATTGAGTAGTTTGGTAGTAAAAAAAATGTGGGACCCAAAAAATGTCTTTCCATAAAATAGCAATGAATAACATGATTGATTATGTTATGGAACAGAATCGGATTGTGTTGAGCATTACCAATTTTTAGTTAAAAAACAATTTCATAGATTTCGAGGCTCTCAAACGATTATGGGAGGCTTAGGTTTCTTTGTTTCTTAAAACTTCTTTTTCTTACAGTAAATAAATAAAGCAAATTAACGATAAAAATAAATAATGATAATAAAACAATACTAATAACTAAAATAAATAATATTAATGTTAATTAAGAATAATAATAGATTATTTTTATTATTTTGTTTTCTTAATCAAATAATCTCAAAAAGTTCATTTCCACCTCATTTTTTCTTAATTTCTCTTCAACTAAAAACTATATTTACACTATATTTCTCTTCCTTTTCTTCACTTATTTTCTCTATCAAATATTACAATACAAGGGAAGATTGTAGAAGCACAAAGGTTTAATTCAAAATAGAAACTACTATTATTTTGTAAACTCATCAGTCCAATGCTAAAAAAAATGAGGCCTGGTGCCTCGTGCTTTAGCGGGTTTAGTTCACTTTTTATGAGGAAGTGAAATTGGGTTCAATTATGGGATGAATTGCGGGCAAGATATAATCTACAAAATAACGAGGAAGAGGGGCAGAACGTGTAATTATTTGGGCCCACCCTTCAGGGTCAGATTCTCAATAAATATATGTTATGACTATCATCGCTGTACCAACGTTTTATTCCCTCACCTTCTCAGACTTCAAATTTTCAGAACAAGATATAAAAATAAAATAAATACATACGTATTTTTAATGACCATAAGTATTTTGAAGTATGTTATGACTATAAGTATTTCCTTTATTAAAAAAAAGTTAAAAAAGAAGAAGAGGGATAGAAACAGAGCAACTAGTCTGAGACAACAACAATAATCTGACACCACGTCAGCAACTCTTGGAATCACCCCATAAAAAGATTGGAAATCAAACGGCACAGCTCAACAAAAACTTTTTTTCAGCTAATTTCAAATTATTTGAAACAATTGATGAATGAAACTGAGAAAAGGAAAAAAGAAAACAATCTTTGCGAGGGAAAACAGAAGAAAGCAGATAGGAAACACTAATCTTGATGTTCAAGATCATTATATTTCGAAATCCGATTTAGGTACCTGAGATACGGTTTCCGTTTCCCTTCTACTCTTCTCTTAAGAATTGGCTAAGCTCCAAAAGCAAAATTGTAGCTACCTGTATAGAAAAATTACAAAAGGCAAAGCAAGTTCAAGGGAAGAAGAAGGACGAGTGAGCTTCAAATTTAATTAATGCACACCTGATAACAAAATCACCAAAAAAAAAAATAACGATAGATAATTTTACATAGCAGCAATAGCTTTCTTCCTCTGTTAACTGTCAGTAATATCTAAGCAAATTTATTAATTTTGTCCTTAAAATTCAAAGCATGGCAAAGAACACAGTGGTTCAAGATCGACATAGAAAATTAACAAGACGATAAAAATTCATATCAAAGATTAAAGATCAGATACAGCTACGAAAGTTTACCCTGTGCAACTGCAGAGAAGGAGAAAAAAGAATCAAAGAAACCAGGAGAAGCTGAATTACGAAGTAAACAAAGTTGATCCGATCGAATCCAAAGCTGAAACGATCACAGAAACGTAAGAGCTTAAAATTGAAGTGATGGAAGAATTTAAGGAAGACTGAGGATAGGAAATCGACGGTCACCGGTGAAACTAGGAAGGAAGATCGTAGAAGCGGGAGCAGAGGATCGAAACTCTGAGAAGGGAAAAAAGAAGGATTGAAGGGAAGGAAGTGACTGAAAGGGAGCTTCAAGAGAGACAGAGTTTGTTTCTCTTTGGTTTGGTTAAAGTTTGTATAATTAAATGATAAATAAATAAATATTAATTTAAAAAAATTGTAATGATATCAAAAAGTAGCTTTGTTTTGTTTGGATTATAGCGCTCTCAAGAGACGCCAGCATTTTACACCTTCAAATCTCAGGAATGGAATCTTTGGAATTGTTTTTCAAATCTTTGCCCTTTTCTTTCTCTCTTTATTACCACAATGCCACCATTACCTCTGCGCGTTATTTTCTTTTGAAATTCTGGACACTGTATTGTTAATGTTCCGTTTTTTATTTTATAAATTCATACTAGTATTTTCTAAAATTTCAATTTCTTATTTTTCTTCTCTTATTTACTCACTTTTCCGAAAAATATATAATAAAATATACATTTTTCATTAATATAAACTTCTTCTAATTTACCACGCACTTATTCAAGTAAAACATAGTCGAATAACGCGAAAATAGGATGGAGATATCGACTGAATTGTAGAAAACTATAAACGACTCTCTATTTTACTCTAATTATAATAATTAGGGTATATTTATAAAAAGAAAAAAAATGAAATAGGATTTTTAAAAGTTAAAAATAAAAAATTTAATTAGTGATCCTTTTTATCAAATCATTTTGTATATAAAATTAATTTTCTCTTATAAAGAAATTATGTTCTTCTGTTTTCTATTTTTCTATCCTGTATGAAAAAAATTAGTCAAACATATTCTCATTGATCAACTTATATATATTTTTTATATGTTTTAAGAATTGTTTGTTTTAAAATTGTATACAATTAATTTTATTAAAAATAACTTTTAACTGAAACGTAATTAGGAAACATACGTGTGGTCCTAAATTTAATTAAATCAAATGTTTTCTTTAAAAGTGCAGTAGTTAATAAGTTTAGCAGCTATATATTATTAATGCAAAATTTACATTGTCAAATAATTAAAAATTATGTTTGATATGACTTTTAAAATAATAAATATTAAAATTAGAAAATTTATTATACAGCTGTAAAATAAATTCTTTATTCAATCAATGTGAACAAATTAAAACCATGAAATTTACATAGAAGATGTTAATTATTTGTAACAAGTTGTAAAATATTAAATTCTTTCATTTAGGTGCTGATAAATAACTAGATATCAAATCATCTTGACTTTATAGTTTATAAAGCAGATTGTTCCTTGTTTAATTTTAATAAAAAATTGTATTAGTAGAATAATTTAAACACTTTTAAGAAACAAAAGTCAACCAAACCCTTCTCTCTCTTTGTTTGAGTTTTCTATTAAGTTATTATTTTTTCTTAAAGTTCGCATCTAGTAACTTTGTACCTAATAGGATCAACTTCTTTGATATATTTTTTGAAAAATTAGGTTGAGTTGAATTCAGTTAAAGTTACAAATGATAATTTATTAAAACTTTTAAATCATTTAAAATTTTAATATTAATTTTACTTTTAATTAGTCCAAAAAAAAGGATTCGAGTTGACACAGTTAACTAATAATCTTAAATTAAAGTAATGTATATATGTGAGTTTGAATATAAAATTGTTATTCATACTAATTTTATTTCATTAAACGAAACTATCTTTTATAGAAAATATGTGATATCTAAGAATGTTATTAGTCATTTTCCTTTAATCGTAGTGTTTTTTCGGGGATCACATACTACATTCGTCAAAAGAGAAAAACTGTTGTTTTGTTTTTCTTTAACATATTTTTAAGACCATAAAGAATTGCTTAATAAATTATTTTAGGTAATATTGGCAATCCCTCTTAATTTTAAAATATATGTTTATCTCAATCATATTTTGAATAAGAACAACCACATTTTTTCTCAGAATTATCCATCGTATTTTTAATAAATAATACACATGTTTTTAAAAATTTAATTTTGTTCTTCTAAATTTTAGTTAATACAATATTTTTGAATAAAAAAATAAGTTTTCAAATTATTAAAAATATAACGGAAATGAATATGATTAAATATTAAAAATGTTCATTTAAAACGAAAAATTTAGAAGTGTCAATTTTAATATATCATAATATTTCCAATAATAAACATATCAGTTATGATCGAATTGGCAAGTCAAATTTTGTCTCTTATAAGGCAATAGACATAAGAATTACTTGTTTATAAGAGTGCTTATTTTAGTTTCTTAAAAAAAACAATTATTTGAGACAATTGCTTAAAATACTGTTGAGTTTGCTTCCAAAAGTAAGTGTCCCTCAGGAATAAAAATAGTAATATTTTTCCAAACCCACTATAAAGTCTAAATTGTGAATTTTTTAATTTCATTGAAATTTAGTTCATAATAAGAAAATTAAATGTAAAATTTTAACAATTATATGACACAATAAATATTACAAATTGCATTTTTAATATATAAAATAAGTGTTGAAAGTTATCTTTCATAATCAATGTATATATATATAGAGAGAGATTTGAGTACCGATAAACTAAATTATTATCTTTTATTTTACCAAATATTTCTTCATCAAAATCGGTTTAATCCTTTCTACTTATTTAAGAATAAAAATTAAAATTTCCATGAAACATCTACTCATTTTTACATAAATACAAAATAAAAGACTGATTATAAACCCTGGGTAATATAATCGTTATTATAAACATTTACATAACAATTTCCTTGATACCGACACTTCCAAAATTCAATATGAACAACATAATCACTTTCAAATACCCATTTCAACGAGATAATTACAATATATATAATTCAATAGGTTCAATATATATTTTAATCAAACAAAATCATATTAGTAAAACACAACAAATTTTAACCAATCCATATAATTAAGAATTTGTGATTTTTTAATATAATTATTATATTGCACATTCTTTTTTCTAATCTTTTGAGTACCTTTTAAAGATGACAAATAATAGTAAGCTCTTCTCTTGAGAACATTTTCCACTTCTTCGTGTTAGCAATATCAAAATTACTTAATATAAAAAAGGAAACCGTAAAAACTAAATTAAATATGACTTTTTTTTTCATCTTCGAATAAATTAGATGCAAGCTACTAATACAGGACGGGTGTTATACATAAATTGTTTTGAATGTATGAAATTAGGATTCACTTTTAAGTTGTCTCTTTTATTTTTTAACTCTTTTGTTTTGTTGATTCAGTGTATTTGTTAAAAATATTTTAATATTTTAATGATTTAATGATTAATATTATAAGAAATGTATTATAAAAATTCAAATAATTATTTTATTTATATTTATAAATTTCTCTATAAATTTTTATTAACCTTAATTATTAATTTATTTAATTTAATTAAATGACTAACTAGGTATGGATTTATTTATCTTAACACGATTGGTTTGAAGTAATATTATCGGTCTACATCGGTCAATACATAATACACAAATTTTGTTTGCTATATATAAATTATATGATGTAATGTTTGACCTTGTATAAAAATGGAGTCAATTAAATTACACATATAGTCGTAAATTGAGAATGTTTTTGCCCTAAAAAAAAATCCCTTTCCTAGGAACCGACAGAAAATTATAATTTAAAAAGGAAAGAAAAAATAATAATGATTTAGGACTCAGATGCCAGAAAGGAGCACGATACGATGTCACGCTTGGTTCTTTCAATTTCATGTCTGTGTTTGTGGCCGTTTCCTCCATATGCCTGCAATTACAAGTCACACGTCACGTTATTCTAATTTTTTATGATTTCTCATTATTTTTATAATATTTTGTATAATGTACTTCACCGTTTGGTGATCCTCTTTGCATGTTCCTCGATTTCTCTTTCTTGTTCTTTCTGCTAGCTGAATAATGTATTTTTTTCATAAGCCAATTTTCCTTCTAATTTATGCCGTAATGTTTAATCATATAAATGCTATGGGTAATGAACGTTCAACTCACTTTTTATTTTTTAGTAGGACAAAAAATACAATTTTAAATATTAAAACAAATAGAAAATAAAAATTCGTCTTTTTGTTTTTTTCTAAAAAACCAATTTTTTATCTTCTTTATGTTTTTTTAATTAATTAGAGGGAATTTATTTGTTTTTCTTTTTTCTTTGCGTCTAAAAAACACTATAATAGTGTAGCTATTACAACATTTCAATTCCACGTATTGAACACGTGTCACAAACTTAGTATTTTTTTTCTCAAAATTCATGTTTTAAAACGGTGATGTTTCTAAAAATAATTTTAGTATATTACTTCTTTTTTATACGATTCCCCGCTCTTATAATAATCGTTTAAATTTTCTATTTTGTTTTTAATAATTTTTATTTTAATATAACTTTTAGTAAGTTTGTTATTATATTATTTTTCATTTTTCTTATTTCAATGTATATTTATGTGTCATTTCATTTTTTTTTGTGAGCATAATTGTTCCCTTTATATTAATTAAATTAAGTGTATAATTGGATAAAAAGTTATGTCATATTAAAATATAAAAAATACAGATTAAATGGATAATTTTTTGTTAGAAAATTGACAATTAAAAATAATATTTCACTTCATGAGGCATTATAATACAGTGTTATTGAGCTCATCAGATCAACTATAGAATTATACCTTATTTTTAGGAAACTAGAATAATAATTAGAGAATTATGTGTTGTTGTATAATATTAATTATGTATTAAATAACATTTATGGAAAACTTTAGTCACTTTATATAAGGACATGTGCTTTTTGTTTAAAGATGGGTTTGAATTAATTTACAAGTGTTACTGAAATTTAAATTGCGTTAAACTTGAATTTATTTAATAAAGACGGTAAATGCGGTGCATGTGCTTTGAACGGTGGTGTAAATAGTAAATAGTTGCTGAAGTTAAAACCAAAGAAAGAGGGAGTGAACTTATAAAGAAAATAAGTGTCTTTAGAACTCTCTTCTATCTCTCACTTTTTGTCCTTTTCCTCAATGAAATTTAACTTATAGATAGCAAAAATGGGTATAGATTTTGAATTGTGAGAGAGTTTTCTAAATGAAATGAAATAAAGGATAAAAAAGAATAATAAAATTAAAATTGTTAAT